GGTGGTTGAGTATAAGTAGTATTCTACAATAAGCTGTCGTGGTTTGTGTCTGAACTATCTGAAAAAGATATCTCAAACGTGGTGGTATAGTGTAGGTAGTATTCTACAATAACCTGCCGTGGTTTGTGTCTGAACTACCTGAAAAAGATATCTCGAACGTGGTGGTCCAGTGTCGGTAGTATTCTACAATAAGCTGTCGTGGTTTGTGTCTGAACTACCTGAAAAAGATATCTCAAACGTGGTGGTATAGTGTAGGTAGTATTCTACAATAAGCTGTCGTGGTTTGTGTCTGAACTACCTGAAAAGATATCTCAAACGTGGTGGTATAGTGTAGGTAGTATTCTACAATAAGTTGTCGTGGTTTGTGTCTGAACTGCCTGAAAAAGATATCTCAAACGTGGGGTCCTGTGTATACCTACACAGGACCCCACGATTGAGATATCTTTTTGAGATTTACGAAACACGTTTGAGATATTGTTTGAAATGTCATATCAAAGACCATTAGTTACGTTACTATGTACTTAATTTCCGAGCTTTAAATTTCACGTAATTTTTATGCTGGTGTGACCATGTGGAAGCCAGGATTGTAGGAAATTTATATATAAGAATGTATAAAGTAAAGTTAATAAGACACCACATTCGCCTTCGTATTCGGTTATTAATCGATCAAATTCAAATTCATTTTCCTGGTGTTTCTTCACATAAAATGGGCGTGGATCTTAAATAGTTCCATGTTTTTTTCAGGTATCCTCAAATTCAATAAAGAGGGTATCGTCCGCGTTGGTGGCCGTAGTGGCAGCGAACTGTTGAAGGAATACAATCTATGGAATAAAGCAAATCGTACTGTTGCTTGGTACAATGTACAGGATGAGCTTAGAGACGTAACGGCTAATATAGATAAAGAGAAAAAATGTCTTGAGAAGGCTTACGACCTTAATCTTGAGCTTGAAGATTTGCATCATGTCATGGGCGAAAGAGAAATGAAGCAGATGTTTCCTTATGTATATGTTGCAGAGTTAAATGGTACTACTGTACTTCGTGCTTGGCTGAATATGGAACCCTTGCTCTCTGCCCATGAAAATCTCGGGTGTGTGGAGGGTGATGTGGGGTTGGAAGGGAATGATGGTGAATTGGAAGGGAATAATGATGGATCGGAGGATGGGGATGATGATGGATCAGAGGAGAATGATGTGGGATTGGAGGAGAATGATATGGACCAGTTAGGATCCGATGGGATAGCAGAAGATGATGGAAACAACGAAGAAGCGACAGTAGATTTGGAAAAAGACGCAGAACGTTTGCAAAATGAGCGAAAACTTGGAGACGACTTTGCTGCTATTGAGCACGCTGAGGACGAAGCTAAGAGAGGCATGACACAAGATTATCTCAATTTTGTCAACGTGAGAGCAAGAATAACCGAGCTTAAGGAGGAACAAGGGGAACAGTTCGCCCCACTAGATCTGAGTCTGTGGCTGTTGGATTTTAACACACGTCAACAGTTGTACCAACATTGGGTGAGGCGCTACCAGGATACACACGCGAAGACATTGGAAGAACTGTACCAACGATACGAAGTTGTTTGTGAACAAATGAAAGAAATTAAACACGGACAAGAAGAAGACGCCTTACGCCGTGCCACTGTGATTGGTATGACAACAACTGGTGCAGCAAAATATAGAAACGTCCTGCAAAAGATCCAACCGAAACTCGTTGTTGTTGAAGAAGCGGCCGAGGTGCTGGAAGCTCATATCGTCACGGCGTTGTCTCAAGGAGCCGAGCATTTGATCTTGATTGGCGATCACAAACAGTTGAAACCAAATCCGAGTGTTTATACCTTAGCCAAGCAGTACAACCTTGAAGTGTCTTTGTTTGAACGGATGGTTAGAAATGGAATGAAATGTCACACCTTGGACACCCAGCACCGTATGAGACCCGAGATCGCTCGCCTGATGAAGTTCATTTATGATGATCTCAAGAACCACGTCAGCGTCGAACGTTTTGAAGATATTTTGGGTGTTGCGAAAAATATTTTCTTCATTGATCACCAGCAGCCGGAGAAAAGTGACGACGAGTTGAAAAGTCACTCAAACGAACACGAAGCGAAATACATCGTGGCATTATGTCGGCATCTGTTACGTCAAGGTTACGACAACTCCACGATTACTGTTCTTACGACTTACACCGGACAGTTGTTGCAATTAAAGCGCTTGATGCCCAAGACACAGTTCCAGGGAGTTCGGTTGTGCACCGTGGATAACTTCCAAGGAGAGGAGAATGATATCATTTTGTTATCTCTTGTCCGTAGCAACGAGGAGAACAAAATTGGATTTCTAGGAATTTCAAACCGTATCTGTGTCGCATTATCTCGAGCACGTATGGGATTCTACTGTATTGGTAATATCACAATGTTGGCTAGCAAAAGTGAACTATGGCAGAAGATTAAAACTGATCTTGAACAACAGCAAGCAATAGGACCTGCTCTACCAACCTACTGTCAGAATCACAAGAACACCAAAGTCGACATGGTTACTACACAAGATTTTAAAAAGGCTCCAGAAGGCGGCTGTACCCTCCCGTGTGATTTCCGCCTGGATTGCGGGCATAAATGTGAGATGGTGTGTCACCCGCTAGATCGTGAGCATAATGAGTACGTGTGCGGTAAACCCTGCACCAAGGAAGTGTGTCCCTTACAACATCGCTGCACAAAAGTATGTCATCATGGAAAGTCCTGTGGACCTTGCCAAAAGCTGGTTACCAAAACCCTTCCGAAATGTGGTCATCTTGTATCCATGCCATGTTGCGATGAGAAGTGCACCCGACCATGTGAAAGAAACCTAGAATGTGGTCATCCATGTCGCAGTCGCTGTGGTGATGAATGTAGCGCGAAGAAATGCAAAGAGAAAGTCGAGAAGACCCTCCCATGTGGCCATAAAAAAGCAATTTCATGCTCCACTCCGATTGAAAGCCACAAATGTGAAGTTCCTTGTGGAAGCATCTTAGAATGTGGGCACACGTGCCAAGGAAATTGCTACAATTGTAAACAAGGGAGGATACACGTGACTTGTAAAAATCCATGCGGGCGTACCTTGATTTGTTCCCATCCCTGTAAGGAACCTTGCACAAAGGATTGTCCCCCCTGTCAGCGAGATTGCGAAAACCGTTGCATCCACAGCGCATGTCGAAAAAAGTGTGGGGAATCGTGTGCTCCATGTCAAGAGCCTTGTACGTGGAAATGCCAGCACAAGAAATGCACGAGGACTTGCTCCGAGATTTGTGATCGTAAGCCATGCAACGTACATTGCCGTGTAATATTGCCATGTACCAAGGGGAAATTTAAACACAGGTGTGTTGGTCTGTGTGGCGAGAAATGCCCACGACTCTGCCGCTACTGCAATAGAAAAGAGCTCACTGAAATCTTCTTTGGAACTGAAGATACTCTCGGTGCAAGATTTATTGAACTCTTGGACTGTGGCCATGTGTTCGAAGTAGAAGCTCTCGACCAGTGGATGGCACTTGAAGAGAAAGATGCGAGCAACGTTCAACTGAAGGCTTGCCCGAAGTGTAAAACCCCGATACGAAAGAGTCTTCGTTATGGTAACGTGATCAAGAAGGTTCTACACGATATCGAAACCATCAAAGAGAGAGTTAGACAAAATGGCGAAGATAGGAAGAAAAAAATGGCGGAATTGAATAGCAAGTTGAGTGAATTATGTTCGAAGTATCCACTGGTTATGAAACCAATCGATGGTAACGAGGAAAGTATCGAACGCAGACCCAGAAGATTTAACTTGCGTATGGCGCATTTACCACAGATGAATTCAGTGTACTCCACTATAGTATCCAAAATTGACTCCAGCAACAATCAAGAACTGGAGATCCTCGTATGTCAAGTCCAACTCCTACCCTCTATCTATGAAATTAAAACGAAGTTCTTGGCACGCATGCGAAGCAGTTCAGAGTATGATCAACTTCGCCAAGAGTTGACAGAGTTGGAAAAGTCGCTGATGAACCGCACGAAATTTACCAACCAACTGATGTCGGATATTGATCAAGAAATCCAACGCATTGCTCTGGCTTGTAAGTTGAAAATTGTCCAGCAAGATATCGTTCAAGCAGGGAAGTCTGTTCCACATGAGATGCAGTTAAAGATCGATGCTATCTCCGCGCTGTTTGAATCCACGAGTAAGATCAAGGACGAAGTCAGAGAAACCGCCATCAAAGATTTGGATCAGATCTGTAAAGATCTGGATCTAGGAGCCATCACCGCTGAGGTAAAAGCTGAAATTGTAGAAGCTATTGGTTTTTTAAACAAAGGTCATTGGTTTAAATGTCGCAACGGTCATATTTACGCTATCGGGAACTGTGGTGCAGCAATGGAGATGGGTGTATGTCCGGAGTGTCATGAAGTTATAGGAGGGGGAGATCACGCTCTAGTAGAGGGCAACGAGTTTGCCCCTGAGATGGACGGTGCGGCTTATCCAGCTTGGTCGAATCAAGCCAATCTCGAGAATTATGATCTAGAAGATCTAATATGACTACGGTTCTTAAAGAACGAGATAGGAGGTAATAGATGATAAGTCGTAACTTTTGTTAAACTGTACCAGTGACCTGTCTTCTCGTTGAAACTTTGATAATAATTACTTTGTATTATTTTCCTTTTGTAGATATCTCAAAGATAGAAAAGTGTTTTTGTTGCAACGAGATAGTAGAACTGCAAGTGAAGTTGACATTTTAAACTAAACATTTCCTCTTTCATATTTTTCATATTTTTATTAACTGTGTTTTAGTTCAGTGGCGGACACTT